AGATCAAATATTGGGAATCCCAGCCCCACTGGGACTTCTGAAAACAAGGATTTAGAATGAAACCAGTTATAGCCCCCTGATCGCAGAGTTCTGCTTTTCTGTGACAAGGAGACTCGATCGGAAGTAGCATATCCCTACCCGCTGTTTCTTGTTTGGATTTGTTGTCACCTCTGCAGCAAACCTGTGCAGTTGCTGGCGTACTTCATCTGAATAGTTTCGATTCTTCACACCTTCAGGACAAAGGGAAATAGGTGGAGGATGCCTGTACACAGGAAAAAACAGGATTAAAAAGGACCCCAAAAGAGTCGTTCACATCCATGGGAATTTTCTCACGTTACCACAAGTGGTCAAAACACCAAGAAAAACCAAGCTCCAAGAAGCAGCCATCTTGAGATGCAAAAGCAGCCTCTGCATCTCTACCCCCTGCATCTGCTAACTACAGCAGAGAAAAAAAATCTGGCTCCCCCATGCCGCGGTACCTCTTCCTGCAACGGAATTTCTGCAGTGGTGTCAGAAAATCCGTGTGGCGTTTCTCCATAACCCTCCGGTAGTGAATCTCATGCCAAAGTTGCACCAGCTCCTCCCTCTCTTCTGCCTTGCAACACTAAAACAAAATAATATGTAAGCAAACCCTTTCCAGGTAGTCAGTCAGGCTTCCTGTAAAGGAGAAAACCCTCAACAACTGGACACTTACTCAGAGGTTCCTATGGGTTTGACATAAAGCTGGTAGCGTTATCCAAGTAGATGGCTCGCTGTACCTTCTCTAATGCACACAGGGAGCTGCCTGCCTAATTCTTTCTTTTCCCCTGGCGAACAGGGCTACGTTACCAGATCTAGAGGCCAAAACCCCTCACCTTGAGTGCTGCCATCCAGCCTTCCCCATATCTTCCCATCCTGGCAAGCCCTCTAAACTTGGCCTCCCCAAGGCTTTTACATCCTGAGCCCTAAGTTTGTAAAAACTCTAAGAACCACCACACTAGAGAACAAAAATCCTGCTTTCACAAACTACAACCGACCTCATCATCACCCAATTACCTTCTTCCCTTTGACTGATTAATAGTAACAGCCTGTAGCAAAAGGTTTATCCCGTGCTTCAGGCCAACCAACGCACACGCATCACCTTCCACGTCTCTACGCCAGCTGGAAATGCTCCATGTGCTGCAGCTTGGGTACCTCTGCACTAACAGCTCTAACTACTATTTTTCTAATACTGCTTTCTGTCTCCGTGAAGAAACAAAGAACACATCCCTACCTCCAGGAGCCTGCAGGCTGCGTCATGCTGCCCGTTACGGATATGAACGAACACGCAAGCTCGGACAACGTGGATGTTAGTGAGAAAGTACATCTTGTGTTTGCATCCCATCATGGTCCCAACCAGCTTCTCCAGACTAGGAGACGAGTTCTGGAGGTCCTGGCAAAGCTGTCCTGCCAGATCCAGCAGCCTGGCGGGTGGGGGATCCTTGTTTTTATTTCTGTTTAACATGGCCATGAACCGCTTCATCCTTGTGTCCTGTTGGAAGCTGTTTCTATGCAATGCACAAAGTTGTGGTTAGATAAAAACTATTATCTCCTATTTTTCGCTCCTATGGTATGCTTTTTTTTTTAAAGGGAAGAAATTCACTGTGCTATTAAAAGCAGCCTGAGGACCTCAAACCACTTAAAATAAAACGAGACCTAAAGCAGCCCTGAAAGGCTGAAGCCGCGCCAGGTTTGTAGCGCGGCTGGGGGCACTGGGGGGTGCTGGCAGCTCTGCAGTGCCCCACGCACACGCGTGTGCCCCCAGCCCCTCCACGCTCTTCAGATCAGGTACCCCCGTATCCCAGTCACCATGCGCAGCTTTACATCCACTGCTTACAGGTTAGAACTACCAGAACGTTAAGCCCAGAGACGTTCAGGTGAAATTAATGAGTTTTTTCTCCAAAACGGCACAGGACAGGCCGGGGGCAGCCAGCTGTTCCAGCAAAGCGTAACTCAAAACGATCGTTTTTCGCCCATTTTCCCGGGGAAAGGGGACCCCCCCACCACCCCCTGGCCAGGCAAAAAGCGGGGGAAAGCTGTTAAATACCTGCGATGCTGAGGAGCAGGGACGCCCCGGCAGCCCCGTCCCCTCCCGAGAG